GGGGTGTGTGGCTGAGAATTAAGGTCGGACGTTGAATTGCGCTGTTTAGTTTTTCTTCTTTTTGCCATTTATGGCTTGTTTCAATTTTTTTTTTTAAATTTTGACAATATCATTTTAAGTATTTCATTGAATCAATAGATATTATTAGTAAATCTCTTTTTTTTTTCTTATTAATAATTGTTCATTTATTTTTAGCTAGAGAATGAAAATGAAAGTAATCTAATTGGAGTTTGCATGAATTCATTGTTGATATGAATACCAATAAGCTTGGTTTATCCAATAGTCTTGGTCTAAACCGCTCTAATACCGTCTGTGAAGGCTAAAGAAAGGAAACTGAGTCATTTTTTTTCTCTTTTTTTGACGAACTAGTAAAAAATTATTGATTGATTTAATAAATACCTAAATGAATCTTATGCTGGCTAGTAAATCTGACTTGCTGTCAAATATTATTTGTTATATTGAAAATTTTCAGTGATGAGTACTCATAAGTTTTATCTTACAAGCTTTCATATCTTAGCGTTGAATTATTAATTAATTTTCACATATAGATTTTTACACTTCATTAAACCATTGTTAAATGCTTATTGGATTATTAATGTTTCTCGTGTATAGGTTTTACACTTCCTTTAAGACATTGTTTGATGCTAGTTTTCATGTTGTCATTTGAACTGGCCCAGCTGACAGCATTGTGGAAGAGTTTGGGGAGGGACCGCCTCAAAATCTGCTGGAAACGGTGGTTCAAATCATTGCATCAACAACATTAAGCAGGTATCCCCAAATAAGTGTCGTTCGGGTGAGAGTTGGTAAGCCTCATGAAGTCAAAGTTGCTGTTGAACTGTTGAAGGTCTCCTTGACTCCCTTGGTGTTGTGATTCTCAGACACAGAAGTGTTCATACTTCATGCTCCGAAGTAATCTTAGGGCTTAGGTACTCAGCCCTATATGAACTCTTTTCAACAAACTGTGTTAGGGTTATTTGGTATAACGGTTAAAATTCAGTAAATATATAGCGGGCAGAAGGTGACGGATAATAGATCACAGTTGTAGATAGTGAATAGTAGTTAGCAGATAACAGATAGTGGTGGTAGATAGCAAAAAGGAAGTAGTGAATAATAAATAACGAATTCGATTAATATAATTATTTGGTTATATAATAATTAGTGATTATTATTCGAAATTAAATGATTGATAAGAATATATTTAAAAACAGTTAATTGTTTTTTTTTACAGTTTTTATTATTAAAATTATTAATTTTATAAAAATAATAATAACAAAAATTGTAATAGTGTAATCATACACTAATTTTTGTTTTTAATAAAGAAAAAATTATATTAGTTTTAAATAAAGTACAAAAAAATTTTAATCTTTTAATCTAATTAGTAAATTTTATTTATTAAGTTAATATTTTTATAATAAATTTATGTAAAAAAGATTTATTAATTACTTAATATTATTAAGGAAAAAAATAAAGTTGAAATTAATTAAATAAATACTAATTAAAAGCCATGAAAAAATTAAAAAATTAAAAGGGATAATTTGTGAATAAAATTAAAAAATTTAAATTTATTAATGATTTGATATAAAAAATTACTTAATCTATTTGTAGTTTGGACCCTAACCACTATTTAGTAGTCTCAAATCGTTAATAAAAAATTTTACCAAATATTTAATTATAACAATTTTAAAATAATTAAATTTATTAAATATCTACTCTTAACTATTTAAATAAAATCGTTACCTATTATCTCCAAACCCACCCACCAAAGGGCCCTATATAAAACCGTAGGAGAGTTTTTCTTGTTCAAACGCTTCCGTTTTTGGTTAAAGTCGCACATCGACAAGATAGAGTTATGAATGTCGTTATAATGCAATCTTCGGTCCAACTGGTGCATTGTGCAACGAAACTTTAAAAGTTTTTGCGAAACCACTTGACGGATCTTGTGGCCTGAGCCTAAAGGGAGTTATGAGTGGCCCAACTCTTAACTCACAATTCAGTCCAATAATATTCTTTTCCTTAAAAATTTTATTTTTTGGGTACATATTTCCTTTTAAATTACTAGAAAGGAAAAATATAAGTCATCAACCTCAGAAAAAGGCAAATGGAGCTTAACTTAAAATTGAAGAATGAAGATACTGGGACTGTCAAATGCTATTATAATATTCTTGTTTTTCTTGATAAAGTTTATAATATTCTTGTTACTTGCATAGTAATATAGTATAATAATCTTCTATAGTTTTTCTGCGTTTAATTGTCTATGAAAAGTATAAAAACAAAGAAACAAAAATTTAGAAATGAAAGAAGGGAAACATTTCCTTATTGGGAAGCACATAAGCAAAGTGAGGGGAATGGAAGGAACCCATTTTTGATCTTTGAAAATTGGATTCTTAATTGATATCACATGGTAGAATAAGAGTGTGATATTATTTGTGATGACATATGCTTCTATTGTCTAATATCTTTGTTTATTGACCGTCAGTTTCCTCTTTTAAACAGGTCTATACAAATCTAGAGGGCAACAGGCCACATAATGTCCATACTGGATGGGCTATGTAGGCTCTCATTGAAGCTGGGCAGGTACATCTATTGAATTTTTGCCTTCTAATTATATGAGAATCATCTCTTTCTAATTTAGAGTTCTTAAACTCTTACTTTTAATTCTTAAATGGAATTTGAAATTATTGAGGGGGCTTTTAGATTCATGCAGTTGTCAATTATGATTATTTATTTTCCATATTTTTGAACTTCCTCTGATATTTTTCGTTTGTTTTGTCCGCCTTATGATTTATACTGCCACTTTTTTGAAAGGCTGAGATAGATCCCATGCCTTTGCATCGTGCTGCAAGGATACTGATAAATTCTCAAATGGAGAATGGAGATTTTCCTCAAGAGGTAAATTTAGGCTTTTTAGTATCACAGTCATGAATGTATAACTGAATAATGTTCTCTTCGCAAATTACAAGTCACATTAGCTATTTGTTTCCATTGTCTTGAGCATGACCCCTCT